TCTGATGTTGTGCCTTAACTCTCGCACATGTCACACACTCGGCCACATACTTTGCAACATCGAGCTTCATCCTCGGCCACCAGTAGTAGGGTTTCAAATCCCTATACATTTTTTTGTGCTGCCGGGATGAATCGAGTACATGGTCTTGTGAACTTCTTCCACGAGAAGGTCTCTTATTCCTCTGGGTTAGAACACAAACCAACCCAGCTCCAGATGTGTCACTAGAGACTACGAAGTCTTCAATTTTGTTTTCGGAAACACTAAGAAGACATGGCTTGTATAATGACTTCATACGTTATCTCTTCATCCTAGGTAATAATTGTAACTTCTATGTTCCTTTGAATGAGTATCTAACTCTTGGAATTCTTGATTGCGGGCGGTGTGCAATCTTGCATTTACTCCTCGTACTATGTTGGACTTTAAATCGTAACCTTCGAGTTACAAAATAAATCCTTATTGAGGACTCCTTCTTCTTCTTAGAATAAGTACTTTCCTTCATTTATTGTAACTGACCGATGGGTCATGTTCTAATGATCTCTTATCGTATAATGCAATGTTTAGACTCAGATCTCTTAGAGATAAATTCCAGAACAGACTATACCTTCCTTCATGTTCTAATGTGATACAATCACATTTCAACATGTATCATTTCTAACTACCAACTTCTTTAACAACGAGCGCAATACTTTTATTGATCGCTTTGATCATCTTTCACTTCAATCATCTCGCTTAAGTCAAATGCAACATCGAACTTGGTTCTCTGAACTACGTGACATATTCATCCTAGTCTAAATCGATTCGATATGACCTCTAGGGTTGGAATAACAATCATCTTCTTAGTCATTACCGAAACGATGGTAACGACATACTTGAACAAAAACGAAATCAATTACTAGCTTCTTGGTAACCTTGTGACTTTCCTTGATCCAAGTACGAGTCCTGTGCTTCCAGTAGTATAGATCTCTACTACTATTCTCACCTACTCATAATCGTCTCAAGTATTGTCTCGCAGTCCCCAAGTCCTAAAATCACAAAAATATTTAACACATATGAATGCATCCAATTAATCATAAAAATTTTCCTAGACTCTAGTAGGACTTCTTCCATGCATATCTTCAATCATCAATTCTACTTCAACTCGGTTGGTCATGGAAATTCCAGACGATGGGACAAATTCAAGAATTACACCACTCCTTCCATCATCCTGCCAATCGAAGGTGTACTTCAGACGTACCGTACTCCTCTAAACATTCCGTTATTTTATCAGACACATTCTAAAGGCAAGATACCACTCTTACGATATCTTCTGATAGGAGTCATTCACTATCATAAGCCTTTCATTTCCTCCATCTACTCAATTCTCTACGAGTCTTCACCATAACATTTTGTACACCCAAGCAGACGTTTGGTGTACTTAGGCGAGAATTTTAAGATAGGAAAGCTTTTATTTACGATAGACGTATAAATCTCCTTGTCACATCGAAAAGTTATATGCCAGTTCTAATACCGTAATCAAACGTTCAGAAATCTAAACACATAAAATCTCCAGATCCGGTCGGCAACAGACCATAGATCCGAACAAATAATAGCATATAAGGCATATTGATAGCTATAACATAAAACATTTAGCACATAAAACATTTTAGGCATCTCTCCTAAAATAAACTAGTGCTCGTGTCTTAAATATAACAGACACTCATCTCACAATTATCGCTTAGCATTCTAATTTAAGTCTACAAATTTCTTACAAATTCCTAGTTCGCTTAAACTAATGCTCTGATACCAACTGTGACATCCCCAATTTCACGGCCAGAAAAGACAGGTTTTGTTTATCCTTTATAAAAAGCAGAGTACTTCTTTTAATAAAAATTTTGCGGAATTTGTTCCCAGAAAACATGATAAATACTTTATCAAAACATTTCCGAAGAAATGTATTTTATTCATTTAAATCATTTGGGATGTCGCCGTCCATACAGAAACATAAGCATAAACAGAACTTACATTCATTTACACTAGTGATCTATATCTCTTTTAAATCTCTCAGTGTAAAGTAGCTTCATATCGACACCTGTGATACAAATAAGCTTGAGTGGGTCAGGTTGGGAAACCTGGTGAGTACATAGGGTTTTCAACCCACAATAATATAATTATTATACTTAATCATCAAAAATCAACCCAATTACCCATCCCCATTATCTTCTTTAATCTTAAGGATCTACCCTAAGAATCATCTATCCTTCATTCCTAAGGATTATCCTAAGGAATAGGCATGAAGTCCATCGCTGCCCGAGGTTTATACTACAAGCACTAACGAACGTCGATCCCCACATACTGATCCAATACAGTGATCTTACAAGATCTAGCCTAAAAGATCGATATGAACAACAAACTAACGAAGATGCTTCGAAAATTCCCTAACAGTAAACGAGGATCGATAAAGACATCAAATGAGGGGAATGGAATAAGTTTCACCACGAACCTTCGTTCGTAAAAGAAAGAACCACAAGATAATTAAGTCAGGGGTAGTTATCTAGATAACAATGCCTAGCCGTGGTCCGAATATCGTAAGGTATTTTACCCCCAGACTCACCCTATCTAGCATCGAACTTTGCCTAGCAGTGATCTGAATATCGTGAGGTATTTTACCCCGAGACTCACCCTATCCAGCAAAGAACTTTGCCTAGCAGTGATCTGAATATCGTGAGGTATTTTACCCCGAGACTCACCCTATCCAACATCATAACCCCAGACATACCTAGTAGTGGTCTATTACCGATACACTTCATTAGGTAGTTTACAAATTTCCCTTAATTACTTCGTGAAAGGACACGCTGACATGTGAAGCTCGTCTGATCACTTCATAAAAGAAACGAAGACTCCAAAGCTCTTCAAAATAAAAAGTATAGGGAAAATACTAATAATGTACTCCCGTACGCTCCCGTACCCCGACACGTAATAGTGTCAAAAAGAAGGACTTTGTACATGATACTTATCGGATGAACACATAGTTCAAAAATACCTGATAAACACATAGTTCAAAAATACCTACAGGTTACGAGTCTGCTAACGTTCCACTGGACTATCTAGAATAGTCTGTGGTCGTTGTCTATACTCTGCTAGATGACTAGATCATCTTAAACATCGATACCTCTCATCAATTTTTATTTCATCACTCATCATCTGATTATTCTACCCATGTTTTACCCAACATATTTGTAGATATAAAATACATATACTGTTTAAATAAATTAAAACATGTATAAAATTGTTCATCCATCATAGATAACAAGTATACAGATAAGATGCACACCTAGCACGTAATTTATATAAAATACTTCATATCTATGTGTAAGACGAAAATAATATGCAGTCACTTGATAAGACGACGATTGGATAGCACCTCGTCTCTTAAAACAATCGTTTCCGATAAAACCGGGATGTTTTATTGAAAACCGGGCCCTACAAGGGTGGAGCTTCAAACCGAAAAGATAAATTTATCGGGCTTCTCAGGCACTTCGGGGCGTGTTTCGGGTGTTGGAAATGATCTCGGGGCTTCGAGGGAAGTGGAAATTGCTAAAATATGAAATTAGGGGTGAAAAATGGCAATTTTCTAAATCTAGCCGGGAGGTCTCGCACCCTTCTATTTATAGGAGCGAGCTTCGGACCGAGGGGGAGGATAAGCGAACACGCGACTCGCATGCGAGGCTCTAGGTGGCTCGCTTCGCAGGTCAACACGGGGAAGGGCAGGTGGCGGCTTCTGATTGGACCGAGGCCTCGGATGCGAGGGTTGCGACACGCGACAGACAGCTGGAATCGGACACGCCACGAGTCGGACACGAGGCAGCTTCTTGTGCGAGGTGACGTTGGCGAAGTCTGACCATGTGAAATTCCTCGGATTTTGGGATTTTTCTCGATTTTTGTGCCGCAAACTTCAAAAATCCATAACGTTCGCATACGAGCTCCGTTTTCGACGTTCTTTATATGCACGCGTAGATAAAATTATGCTCTACCACTTTTGTTTAGACTCCGTCGACTAATTTTGAATTTAATTTTAATATTATTATTTTTAACAGACCGGCACAGAAAATCCGTTAAAAATTCATAACTTCTTCATCCGATGTCTGTTTTCGTCTGTCTTTTTACCGTTGTACTACTATTGACGAGACCTTTGATTCTCTTTTAGGTTGTGTCGGCTAAAAATCAATCGATCTAAAATTCGAGTTTTAGCTGTCTACCGCTACGCTGAAACTTAGAAAAATCATAACTTACTCATACGAAGTCAGATTTGGGCGTTCTTTTTATGCATACTATCGGTTTAATGAACACTACGACTATCATTTCGATCACCAAGGCTAAAAAGTAGTTTATCAAAAACTCACTTTTTACGTCATTCGGCGTCGTGCCGGTTTTGTCGCAGAACTTCGATAGGTCATAACTTCTTCGTTATAACTCGGATTTCGATATTCTTTATATATCTGGAATCCTTGTCACGAGCACTACAACTTCCTTCATAGATATTAGGTTTATCTAATATTTATTTTTTGACGCTTATTTTTATTTTTAATTAATTAAATCATAATAATTAAGCATAAAACACATAATTCACATAATAATCACATAATTCCTCTTCACTTCTTCCAAATGAGTTACAAAAGTTGACCTAGACTATTTCATCATCATTAATGTCTATCTTGAAAACACGAACATTACAATTTTTTAATTTATTTAAATAAGGTGGGGTAGGTAAGGTAAAATAAAATGATGTGGAAGTTGGGTTGGTTGTGTGTTTATTTAAATAAATTAAAAAATTAAGACAAAATAGTCTTTTTAGGTAAGACAGACCATACACGCAACAAAAACAAACAGTAGAGACCTTCCGAGTTAAAATTATAAGTTAGAGACCAAACTTGTAAATAACCCAAACCATAGGGACCATTCGTGTAACTTACTCTAAATACATATATAGTAATAGTCAATTCTATAAGTCATAAGTACTCTATGCATATAACGGTTTGTAAAATAACACCAACATTACCACATTATAGTATCAAGATTCTAACAAAACATAAGGCAATGAGCAGCTTGAACAAGAGGTTTCTATTGGCGGAAGCTACAATATCTGTTCTTTTACTTGTCTCACTCCACATTCATAAAATCCGCACTGCTGAAATTGACGTCATTTCATATTCAAGGTTCTTGACAGAAGCAGACACGTTGGTCTCACCGGCCGGAATATTTGAATTGGGGTTTTTCAAGCCACGAAGCTCTGAGAACAAATACATTGGTATTTGGTACAAGAACATATCTGTTAAGACAGTGGTTTGGGTCGCCAACAGGGACCTCCCAGTCACGGGTGCATCATCCGGCATGCTGAAAATCGTTTCTCCTGGAACTCTCGTCGTCATGAACGGCCCCAATGATGTAGTCTGGTCATCCAATTCAACGTCATCAGCCAACGCAATTGTACAACTTGAGGACACCGGAAATCTAGTCGTCAAAGAAAGAATTAACGACAAGATTCTCTGGCAGAGTTTTGATTATCCAACTGATACACTTCTACCTGTCATGCAGTTTGGGAGAAATTTATTGACGGGGAAGGAATGGAAACTATCGTCATGGAAGAGTGATCAAGACCCAGCTCCAGGTGAATTCACGTGGAGCACCGACACAAGCGGCTATCCTCAGAATCTACTAAAACAAGGCACATCAGTCAAGTTCCGAGCTGGACCATGGAATGGTGTATGGTTTAGTGGCGGTTCTGGGTTCAACCGGAATATCATTAAACCAGATATGATTATTAATGAAACGGAGGTGGTTTACAGATATTTTATTGTTGACAGTTCTGTCGTGTCAAGGATCACTTTGAATTCATTTGGGCAGCTAGAACGTCGGGTGTGGGATGATGATAAGAAATGGCAGCTTACCTTGCAATTACCAAAAGATATCTGTGATACATACAACATCTGTCAGGCTTATGGAGCATGCACCGCTTCGACCACACAAATATGTGTTTGTTTAGATGAGAGAAGATTCGTCCCCAGAAACCAAAAGGGATGGGAGAGAGCAAATTGGTCAGATGGTTGTGTGAGGCGAACACCATTGGATTGCAAAAATGGAACCGATGGGTTTATTAGGTATTCTTATTTGAAATTGCCGGACACACAGATTTCATGGTTTAACATGAGCATGACCACGAAAGAATGTGAAGCAAAATGCTTGAAGAATTGTAGTTGTACGGCCTATGCAAATACAGACGTCAGACAGAAAGGAAGTGGCTGCTTACTGTGGTTCAGTGAACTCAAGGACATAAGAGTCTCCTTTGAGGGAAATGGTCAGGATATCTTTGTAAGAATGGCTTCCTCGGAATTAGGTAAAGATCTCTCTTTACAAAAAGCAAACTTGAATAGTTTTTATGACATATCTACCATCTGCTCTAATCGATTTATCTTACCATGTAAAATTACTTTTTTCATGGTTGTTATTTCTGCTCAATCGTTTTCAGAGAAGAAAGGAAGGGAAAACATGAAAATCATCTTACCTGTAGTTTTTCTGGGGGTTCTTCTGATAGGCTTGAGCTCTACATGGCTCCGGTATAAATGGAGAAAGAGACATCACGCACAACCAACGAGGGAAGGTAAGAAAATTATGCAATTAGAGAGCAAAGTGGTGGGAATCTAATAAAAAGAAGTAAACTAGAGTAATATGTATGTTGAAAGTTTAGACTAATATGATCAGTTCTTGAAGAATATTCTTTATTACTGTCGCACAGGGGAATTCTTACATGTCGGTGAGAGCAAGAGAGATGCCATGGAGCTACCATTGTTTAGCTTTTCTACAATAGCTAAAGCTACCGCTAATTTTTCACAGGAAAATAAAATTGGAGAAGGTGGATTTGGACAAGTTTATAAGGTAACAAAAGTGTGTGATTGCCATAAAGTTTTCGAAGAATAATAACACTCAAAATTGTATGTTGAGATTGATTACGTATAATAACAATAAATAGAATCCGTGCAGTATAAGAATGCCACTTGTACAAAAAGAAAAGGATGAAATGCATCTTCATTGTTTCTATTGTTTTTCACATGCCAAATTATGGTCTCCAGGGTATGCTAGAAGAAGGATTGGAGATTGCAGTTAAGCGTTTATCTAAAACTTCAAGCCAAGGAATTGATGAGTTCAAGAATGAAGTCATTTGCATATCAAAACTTCAGCACCGAAATCTTGTTAAACTCCTAGGATGTAGCATACAAAGAGACGAAAGGTTGTTGATATATGAATACATGCCAAACAGAAGCTTAGACTCGAGTATATTTGGTCAGAATCACATAATTATTTGCTATTAATTCAACATTTAGCTAGGAACTAAGAGTTCACAGAAAAATAACTAAATTAACTTCACGTTTGGTAGACAAGACACGAAGCATGCTACTTGATTGGAGTATGCGTTTCAACATTATCAAAGGAATTGCTCGAGGACTTCTTTATCTGCATCAAGATTCACGATTAAGAATCATCCATAGAGATCTTAAAGCTAGCAATGTTCTACTTGATCTGGACATGAACCCTAAGATATCAGACTTTGGGATGGCTAGAAGCTTTGGAGGAAACCAGACTCAAGCAAACACCGAGAGAGTTGTTGGCACATAGTAAGCTAGCTAATCCAACTTTGTATACATTCTATCTTTCTTATATATATTTTTACTCTTACTTGCATTTTTCTGATTGCAGTGGTTACATGTCGCCTGAGTATGCACTAGATGGTGTTTTCTCAATAAAATCATATGTATTTAGCTTCGGTGTTTTAGTGCTGGAGATTGTAAGTGGGAAGAAAAATCGAGGATTCATTCATCCAGAGCATGACAATAACCTCATTGGACATGTAAGTTCACCGGCCAAAAACTCCTCATTTGATTTGTGAATATAGTCCTCTAACTATTTCTACATTATATTCAGGCTTGGAGAATGCATAATGAAGACAGGTCCATGGAACTCATTGATACAACTTTAGGCCAATCAGTTAACTCATTGGAAGCTATAAGATCAATTATAGTGGGCTTGTTGTGTGTTCAACAAAGCCCAGAAGACAGGCCAAACATGTCATCGGTTGTTCTAATGTTGGGCAACGAGGGTGCATTGCTAAAACCTAAGCAGCCAGCATTTTTCACAGAAAGGAACTTACTTGGTGCGGATTTCTCTTCATCAAGCACTTGCCCAACAAGTTCAACCAACGGTTTAACTGTTACAAAGGTAGTCGCTCGATAGATAAAACATACATAGCTTCAACATTAGTTTTTTTCTTTTTGTGGTTCTTATTAGTACCTTCAAATATAAGGCCATCTATAACTTGTTGACCATACTGCTTTTGTTGTCAGATAGTATATGGTTCTATAGTATGATTAGTATCTATTGTTTCTTTTGTTGAAGATAACATTCAAATGGGGAATAATTTTGTTTTTAATTGATCTCCTCACATCACTTATAGTTTTTCATTAATCACTGTAGACTTTGACTGAAATCCAATTGGAAACCGTTAATTAACAAATTTAATTAAACAAAAATCTATATGTGGAAGGCGTGAAACCTCTCATTTGGCGGAAGATTAATCTTATACAAGGTTGTCCGGGGCAGCCTTGGTACCAATTTGGTTTCCTTTTTCAAATCCTCGAGCATTGTGATCAATTGTCTAAAAAGTATGCACAACAATATTTTTAGGAAGGCGGCTCAGATAGAAAAAGTACTTGGGTTGCTTGGGAAAAAAGCCTTCAATCGTGAAGGAAAAAGACAATCTGGACATTGGGAGTATTCGAGCCATCAATCTCGCATTGCTTTGACGAATAGTGGTGGTGATTCCGGAATAGAGGAGGGCATTCAAGCTTTACATGGAATGAGTGGCCGATGGCCTTGGTGTTGCCCCTCAGAAAACCACGAGCAAATTTCCGGGACAAGGCCTACTTGAAACTAGTTGGAATTGTGTTGATTCTGTGAAGGTTAACATGCTTAGGGGTTGTTTGATATCAGTGCTAACCGAATCAGAACGAGGGACTCGATCCTCAATCAGAAGTTACCGTGTTTAATTTTGCTTGTTTATCTTCGGACTCGGTCCAAAGAAGGGACTCGGTCCAAAGAAATCTGATGATTCGGTCCTCACTTCAAAACCCCCTGACCGAGTTTTGGCCCTCAGTCAGCCCCAAATGACACACTTTGCCCCTCTGTTTTTTGGCATGCTAATTAGCGACGTATCAAACAATATAATACTAATCAAACACAATTACAAGAAAATAAAGAACATAGTGGATAAATCTGTGAATAAATGAAACAATGTCACCACTGCACCATTTTAGCTTCAACTTTGCATTGTGGCTATACCTTCTTGTCTTGACAGCAGCGATGCTTTACATCTATAGCTTTACCTTGCCTCATGGATGTTGATTTGCTTTTGTGGCTTGTGTTGAGTGTGAAGCCATTGGGCTGGTCAAAAGGCAGAAAACATGGCAGAAAACATGGAAGAAAAGCAAGTCAAAAAGGTGGAAAAGGAGAGGTGATCCATATTTCCCGGATGCATGTTTCATGGCTGCTTTTCTTGTTCAATTGTTTACTTCAGACTCTATATATGAGTCTCATCTGTATTGTAAAAATAAGCAACAAAGAGTGAGTGCATATTAACACCAAGAAATATAAACTCCTAGTTACCGGTGGACGTAGGTTAGAGAAGGACCGAACCACGTTAAATCCCTCGTGTTCATCCTTGTGTTCTTGTTTTTCGTGAGCTGTGTGTGTGTTTAGAGTCGTGTGTTAAGTGTCTCGATCCTAACAAGTGGTATCATAGCAAGGTTTTAGCTCCAGAAGGTGATTTTCAGTTTTTGGTCGAAATTTTTTTTCGTCAAAAACGATTTTGGTGTATACCGTTGGAAAGGTCTCGTTCCGAAGATTCCGAAAATATTTTTTTCTGAATTTTTTGGCCACCGGAAGACGTCCAAATCGCCGGTCAAAGGTTGCCGGAATAGTTACCGGAAAAACCAGTTTCGCCGGAGAAGACGACACTGTAGCACGACGTCAGCAGTGACGTCAACAGAAACTGTAGCAAGCACTGTAGCACGACGTCAGCGGTGACGTCAACAGGCACTGTAGCAACACTGTAGCAGATTTGAAAAATTGCAGTTTAGCCCCTGAACTTTCAGAAAATTGCAGTTTAGCCCCTAATCTTTCAGAAAATGGCAGAAAACAGTAAGCTTCAGATTGAGAAGTTTGATGGGAAAGATTTTGGTTGGTGGAAGATGCAAATTGAAGATTTGCTCGTGCAGAAAGACTTGGACGCAGTTTTAGGTGAAAAACCGGAGGCGATAACACAGGCAAACTGGGAGATTTTGGATAAGAAGGCCAAGGCATTTATTAGACTGACGTTGTCAAAGGATGTTGCCTTCAACATTTTGAAGGAGACCTCGGCAAAGGGAATCATGGAGGCATTGTCTAATATGTACGAGAAGCCGTCGGCAGCAAATAAAGTCTTCCTGATTCGGGAGCTAGTCAACACGAGGATGAGGGAAGGAAGTTCAGTTACAGTATACATCAACAATTTGAACTCGATTTTATCCAGACTTGGGTCAGTGGGAATAAAATTTGAGGACGAAGTTCAATCTTTACTACTGTTATCATCATTACCTGACAGTTGGTCCGGAACAGTTACAGCCGTTACTAGTTCCTCAGGATCAAAAGAGCTCACTTTTGAGGGAATTCGGGATTTAATTCTAGGCGAAGACGTCAGACGAAGAAATTCTGGGGAATCATCAAGTGAACAATTGAATGCGGTCAGAGGTAGAAAAAATAACAGAGGTAGTGGGAGCGGGAACAGGAGAAGGAGTCAGTCGAGGACTCGAAATGATGTGACTTGTTGGAACTGTGAAGAGGTTGGACATTTCAGGAATCAATGTCCAAAAAACAAGAAAGAAGTTAACGCTGCAGTAGACCATTCAGATGATGATGTTTTGATCTGTAGTGTGGAGAGCAATGTGGATTCCTGGGTTATGGATTCGGGTGCTTCATTTCACGCTACCCACAGCCGTGAAGCACTGCAGAATCTAAAAGAAGGAGATTTTCGTAAGGTAAGACTGGCGAACGATGAGGTTCTTGATGTGACGAGCATAGGTGACTTAGTTTTGAAGACTCCAGTTGGTCCATGGACTTTGAAGGATGTCCGGGTAATTCGAAGTCTGAAGAAACAATTGATTTCTGTTGGGCAGTTGGATGAACAGGGACACGAGGTTAAGTTCAGGAATGGGCAGTGGAAGGTTGTCAAAGGAAATCGTTTGATAGCTCGTGGACATAAGAAGGGTTCATTATATATGGTCATATTACCATCTGAGGGAGTAACCGTCCCAGTTCAGAAGAAAAACAAAATCCGGTTCATAGAGTCTCGTGGACAGAAGGAGGTTTGCTTTGCAGATGGCAAACCCAGAGTCACAGGTCAGATTCAGGTTGAACGTGTTTGGAACGGTTCAGAAAAACCAGTCAAGGGCATTCATAGCAGTGGGAGCAAGGGTTGTGCTTCAGCTAGAATACCCAGAACACAGTGGGTTAAGAGAACCAGTATTCCATCTGTAAAAGTCTCTCCAGATTATCTGCTTCATATGGAGAGTGTCGTTTGTTCTCAAGATGTTCCAGGATCGGGCAGTTCATTTCAGTGGGAGCCGGTGGAGACAGAGAACAGGTCAGTGGCAGACTTAGTCATGACTGATGTGTTGGAGCTAACGGAAGCTTCAACTAGCGTTCAGGTAAATTGAAGAGAAGGCCAGGGTAACTAGGAAGGAGTCAAGATCAAAAGTTTTTATAGAAATACAGATACACAGTTGAAGCTATGGTGAAGATTGTTTCGTGGCTTCAAGTAGGAGATTGTTGAGTGTGAAGCCATTGGGCTGGTCAAAAGGCAGAAAACATGGCAGAAAACATGGAAGAAAAGCAAGTCAAAAAGGTGGAAAAGGAGAGGTGATCCATATTTCCCGGATGCATGTTTCATGGCTGCTTTTCTTGTTCAATTGTTTACTTCAGACTCTATATATGAGTCTCATCTGTATTGTAAAAATAAGCAAAAAAGAGTAAGTGCAGATTAGCACCAAGAAATATAAACTCCTAGTTACCGGTGGACGTAGGTTAGAGAAGGACCGAACCACGTTAAATCCCTCGTGTTCATCCTTGTGTTCTTGTTTTTCGTGTGCTGTGTGTGTGTTTAGAGTCGTGTGTTAAGTGTCTCGATCCTAACAGCTTGACCAATTTCCACATTTCTTGGCTCTTTACTGTCGAAGGAAAGCACTTCAAAAAAATAGAGATAACTTGAAATTTCTTTTATCTTTAATAACTCCTAGGGTTTTAAAAAGGAAAGAGAAAACATAGAGAAAAACACACTGCCCAATACAACATGGGTACTTCTTCTTTTCTTTCTTTATACAACTAAAAATAATCTCATAACTATTCGGAATTTATTGTTAAATTGTTATAATTTCATATAGTAATAGTATAAGTTAAAGATATTTTTTTTCAATAATTGTATATGTACATTAATAGATTTGTGTAAATATTTTAGTAACACATTGTTGATTATAATATTTTTCTTATGAAAATTAATATTGAATAATTTTGCAATTTGTTAGTTCTATTATTTCAAATCCTTTGAGGTATAAACAATATTAAGTTCATGTTTTGTAAATCAAATGTATGATATATTTGAATTTCTTTAAATTATATTTAGTTAGAAAATATTTTGTGAAACAATTGTCTTTTAAACATCAACTTTGTTTGGAAAATTGTTTATATAAAAAGAAAGCATAAGGATAAAAGTGTCATTTTCATCATTCAGCAAAACTAATGAGACATAGAATCAAACAGTATGGTTTCAGTAAGAAGTTAACTCAGTCGGAACTTCGAACTCAGCCAGCTTCTAACTCAGTCAGCTCTAACCCATGTGAAAATATATGCAGCGTATCGTCATAAACATGAGCTCTTGTATTTTTCATGTGTGCAACATCTTCCCTGAAAATGAATCGCATGTGTCACGAAGAATCGAGAATAAATATACACATAAAGACACATTATTATTACGTGGTTCGGTTGATATGATGTAGAGGAGATAGTATTCGTATTCACAAGCTTGAAAATGATGATATAGTATTACATGACCTTTCAAACTATAACTATCAGCCGTTACTGTAACGACCCAAATTTCCAAATAAAATTTTCATTTTTAAATAATCAAACATCCCCATAAAATGTGAAATATCAATTACAATTGTTTTCAAATCCATAACATCAACATTTTATTTCAAATATTAGAGTGTCCCATCAAATCAAATGCTGGAGAGTGCATGCCACGCCATCAAGCCTTGCCCTTGCCCTTAGGCTCAGAAGTACCTGAAACAAATCAACAAACTGTAAGTTAATGCTTAGTGAGTTTCCC